ATGCTCAGGAATGAAACAAAGATGTCCACTTGCATTCTTTTTTTGTCAGCAACAGTTTTTTAAAAAATGATACAACTTAAAATTACCCAAACCATAACATACCTTGAACAAAATGATTGTGACCTTTACATAGAAAGTTAAAAACTGTCGTAAAAGACATTAATGAAGATTTAAATAAATGGAAAGACATACTTTGTTGAGGGATAAGGAGACAATACTGCAGATGAGACAGGAGGTACTCAGCATCCCTGAGTCTGGGTCTCACGCCACTCCTCTGAGTCTCAAACCACACCCCAGAATCTCAGGCCCCTCCCCTGGCCCTGAGCTAGAAGAGAGCTACTGTTGTGTGCTGCACCAATTTTCAAGCACAACAGGGCAAGGCAGAGGCAGACTTGATTAATTTCAGTGGTCGAGCATGGCAATAAGGAGTTTGTCCTTGAATGACCTTTCACTGGAAGACCTAGAGAGTAAGCAGAGTATATTTTAAGTATACTTGGTGTATATGCTGGAATTAGACTACTGAGCAGGTGCTAAAAGAAACAGAGCATGTGCAGGGGTAAGAGTTACATAACTGGGAACTACCCCTCTAGTTAAATATTTATAGATAGCATGAACATGTGCAGAGAGCCAACTACAAAAGGCAGAGCCCGGGATGAAAGCAGGGCTGCTGCTCACTCTCGAGCCAGCCTGCACTTGCCTGTGAGGTGTGTGTTCCTTACTCTCTGCATTAAACTTGCTCTTGCTTTCTACTTTGACTTTGCTCTTGAATTCTTTCCTGCAGCAGAGTCAAGCACCTGGTAGGGGACAGGGGTGAGGTCAGGTATCTGACCTCCCCAGAGCCTCTCCGGTAACACAAAGATGTCAATTCTACCCAGTATGTCTATCAATTCACTGAAATTCCAAACAACAACGCAATAAGCTTGTTGTAGAAACAGAGAAGCTGATTATAAAATGTATATAGCAGAGAAAACCATTAAGAATAGCCAAGGCAATGCTAAAGAAGAAACAAATTGAGGACTCGGCTCCACAGCTATACCACTGCAACCGTGTGATCTGGACAGTTGCAGACAAGGTCACTAGAACAGAACAGAGGACCCTGCCCAGACCCTAGAGGGAGCTCGACCTATGGCAGAGGTGGCGCTGAAAAGCACTGCACAAAGGATGGAGTACTGGATGAGGGGTACAGGGACGACTGGTGACACACGGGGGATCAGAAACATTGGCCCTTACCTTACCACAGAGACAAAACTCAGTTCAAGATGTATTTAAGATGTAAACATAAAAAAGAGAAATTTAAAAAAAATTTGTTTTTATTTTTATTTTTTTTCCTTTTTGTCTTTTTTACTGACCGGTAACAGGATCGCAACCCT